ATATATCCAGTATAGTATACGTATGTATGTATATGGATATGAATATATATATATATATCATTAGTATATGACTATATAGTATATATAATACTAATAGTCATATATTATGTATGTATGTATGTATGCTTGTGAAAACTTTATCCTAGTTCTGTACATTACTATGTATATTATACTACATAAATACACACCACACACCACACACACACACACAACACACCCACGCTCCCACCTACCGCGGCAGTGCCCATGCACGGAACACACCACCGAAGCAACGGGCGCCGGCAAGTTGGCCACCGGCACACCCGCTTTCTTTCGATACCCATGCATATGATGTCAGGTCTCTCTCTTCTTCGTCGTGTCTTAAGTTTTAGTTTCTCTGTAGATGCAAACCCTGTTAGAAATTCATCCCCTCCTCATCTTCAGTCCTCATTTTAGCATTTAAAACAATTCCTACTCTAGAACTAACATCAACACAATTTTCTTATATCAGTCCAGCAGCTACATTCAACAATCATTGTTGTTTTCATCTATTTTAACTATATTTTTTTCTCTTACTTCAACCCTCAAGTCATAGCAAAGTCAGCCTTCACTTGATTCTGATGAAACTTACATCAGATAACATCAGCTATTATAGCATACTAAAATTGCAGAATATAACTTCAGCAACTTCAGAATACTAAAATCATAGAGGATAACTCGAACAAGTTCAGAATAATGAAATCACAAAGAACAACTTGAGATATTTCAGACTACTGAATCCACAAAGGGTAACTTGTTTTCAAATACTGAAACATTATTTATTTGTTTGATATGTATGTCCGTTCTTTTCAATTCAGTACAGAACTGGTATTGGTGCTCCTACTTGGTAACTCTATAATGGGTGTCCTTGGCAACAAGTCACAACAGCAATGTTTTCTTTGCTGAACTTGCAGCTTATTCTGTTTTTTACTCATTATAATAATATGGGGTTCCACCTGCTGAAGGTGGAACCCCATATCATTATAATGAAGCACAGAAAACAATATGGTTACAATCAGACTTCTTGAATCTCACATTTTCTGAAAGAGGCCTGAGAGCAGGGTTTTCTTGTTATCACACTGAAGAGCACACAGTGGAAGCAGAAGCTCAAGTTCAAACATTAATAGTCTTTAGTGTCAGCGGTTTTGTCAACACATACTGTCTTTGTTAGTAAGTCAATTTTCTGTGTACAGGATGTGAGTTTGCACTTCATTAACAGAAAGCTTTGTCAGAATGAAAAAAAAATCAGAATGATATCTGTTATCTTTTTACAGATCAGCCTTACTGCTCACTCAAACTTTGCAGTCCTACAATATAGTTTAGATTTTATACTCTACTTGTAAGACTTTCATCAAACATTACTTTATATAGCATTATTCCAATTTATTAGAGTGAATTGTTTCATCATTCCAATTTTTCTCATCACTGACACATAAAGCACTTAAAACACATAACACAGCAAAACTCCTACGAACACTTCAGCTATCTACTCACATAAAACAGGAAAGTTGCAATTCTGTTACCAGTGCCTAAAGATTTAAAGGCATCTTTCTCTTCTCGCTGGAAATAACAATGACATGTAGAATGGTTATGGACATAAGCATAAGAAGTGCAATTTAGCTTCTAATCCCTCCTATTGCCCTAAAAAAAACATCACAGTGGCAGAAAAATACATAAGAGGCAGTAAAGGGGATAAAGCACTGTCAAAGAAATTGGCAAATACTCTTCAGAACCTGGAAAAGTAAATCATCTGAATGCACTGATATGGTGCATATCATTCAAAACCTGGAAATGTAAATTATCTGAATGCACCGATATGGTGCACATCATATCATATAAAAAATATATCAATATATCAGTAATGACAACAAACAAAACAGAGAAATAGCCTGATACTTAAAGATGAAAATATATACTAAATATCCAAAACTCAACAATATTGTTCTTTTCCAAAGCTTTCAATCAATAATACATTAATGAAAGAAAGGCTTAAATTTCTCAGCTTACCCGTGCATAATCAAAGTGTGGTTCGTAATGGCCTCCAATCCCATAATTTGCCACTTGTAATTCTTCAGCTGTCTGCATATTCAGACCTTTGAATTAAAAAAGAAAAAGACAGAGTCAGCGCTATGACTTCCCTATCCATTGTCTATGATGCTAATGCTTTCAAGAAACCAACTACCAAAATAGATGTTTATGTCATTATTTGATATTTCTTTTCGCCCTTTAACGCTCTCCCAAAGTTGTGATATCAGTTTAATCTAACTATATCACATAGCGAAACCTGTATATGATTAAATGTTATTACTGTGCAAGTTCATAATTATCATATATTTTTTATTGACCTTAGAGAGATTCCGATGAGGTAGACAAATATAGATAAATAAAAAGATTACTCATATTACAGAAGAGTCTAATACATTCGAAATACACTTAATGTTTATGAAGTACCTATTTTAGTACATATACATATATACATATA